CCTTCTTTGAAAACATCAGAAACAGATAGATATATAAAATACTCTTCATAACTGCAAAACTGTCTTTTCTCTGTTTCAACATAAGAATAGCCATTATTTTGTATATTTATCAGCTTTGTTTCGGTGCCATATAACCCTTTAGAACGGGTGACTCACTGATATACTGTCTTTCCATTATTTTTCTACATACACCTTTTACTCTCGCTCTTAAATACGACAAATTGTGGTACTTTTTAGTAATAAACTTTAAAAGTAATAAACAGCCAACATACACTAAAATATAATCCTCAGACTATGCATTTGCTTTTCGGAGATGGGATTCTGAAATCTCAGCACCCCCCCCCCCTTCACCCTTATCATCACAGATTGTATTTGATCTTTTTAAATGGAAAATATACAGTAAATGTGAAATAAATTTGTCTGCTCCGTGATTTTTCTTAACACGTAACGCGCCGCTTTAACTTGGGTCACGGTCTCAAAACGTCGTCGTGGTCGGGCGGTCTTAAGAGATTTGAATCGCAGTCTGAACTCATTGTTTTAAAGTTAATGACTCACGCTTTCACTCATATCAGGTAATAAATAAAGAGGACCAAATAAGTAAAATGACAGGGATTTATTGAGTATAAGATAATTTTATATATAGTCAACAAGTCTGAAAACTGTTTAGTATTAGGAAAAGATGGAAAAAGATAAAAGTCACATATAATATTATTATTGATTGGTTAATTTTACAATAGTATTGCAATTTTCTGTATTGTACATGCAACACCAAAATGGAAAATTTACGATAATCACGCCACAGACAACGGAAAGAAAAACAATTAAACGCGTGGTCAGTACGGAGAAATAGTGTACAAATACGATTTTTAATGAAAATTGAGTTCATTAATAAACTGGCAAGCTACTGGAAGAAGGGTGGACATGGCTTTTCAACCTCAGGCAGAGACTTTAGAAGAATAATCCATAGCATGTGTTTCAAGAAAGTGACTGGGTTTACATTGTAATATTGGCTGTATAATACATATAACAAAACTGTAACCAAGTTAATGACACAGCAATAGCACTCTTGTACATGTACAACAAACCGCCCACTTTCGTAACAGAATTTGTTTTGTCACCGTGCAAATGAAACAAAGGGATGTGGCTTGCTGATATCGGTGCCCTCTTCTCACGAGGCTTTACTTTGATGGCTTAGCATAGTGTCCATCTTATGCTGTGGTTGTTTATAATAAAGCAAAACTGTTTACCGATCTCATGTCTCAGCAAACATGCAACTTTCTATCGAACAATAACTCTATTGTTCCCTCTGATAAACAAAAATGAGAAAAAAGAAACTCAGTTTCTTTATATAATGGTGACTTTGCAGAGGTGCTTGCAGATGGTATATGTACATGTATCTATATTTCACCTTCGTTTGGGAAATATGTTGCTTTCCATTACTATTTCACTTTTTCCCAAACGAGCACACGGAAATATTAATATTTAAAGATTTAAGAAAAAAACAAAACCAAAGGTATATAAGAATAGAATAGAATAGAAAAGAATAGAATAGAGGGACAGTTCGACTGCTGACTTATTTCATGTCCCTAAGTTAATATTTAGTTAAAATAAAGTAAAATGATGACTGAACAAACTTCAACGCCTACCGGCTGGTGGATTATTTATGGTTCCCGTATTTTCTCTTCCGTCTTGCTACGTCTCATTAAAGAGCTAAATAAAGAAAGAACAATCAAGAAGAAAGTCCCTCTAATACCTTACCACACCACATCGCTCTTCGTTGTATCTGAAAAAAAATCCCCTTTTCATTTGAACTCAGCATACTACACACAGAGGTGAACTTTTAATGATATAACCGACTTGTTACCATTTTATGAGTAAACAAAAAACAATTATACAAATAAACGAAAATCTGAAAATAAATTTAAAACATTTTGAATGAAGGAAGGAAAGTTGTCATTGTACATACAGGAAAGTAGCAGTGAAGGCGAAACGACTTCATGAACAAAGTCTCGCTAGTAATGTCATTCCTCGTTGACAAAAATCGAAATGAAAATTCTCAGTTTTTGAACAAACTGTTTCCATGAACAATCTCATTAAGCTCGGGCACACTGCTGTAACACGCCAGAGAGTGAAAGGGTGATATCATGAGATGTCATGTTATGCAGCCATTTTCTCCCGGTGAAATAGCATGCTTCGTCTTTTTTTTTCTTACAGTTTGACAAAAAAAAATTCCTTCGCCTCTGCTCAATGACCAAGACCTTATTCATTTATTTTTCAATTTTTCTATTTGTCATAAATTCTTTTTATTTATTTATTTATTTATTTTTACTTTGTGAATTTATCTATTCCCGACACATGTAAAAGCATCCAGCTGATGATAAATGAAAATCCAAGTGGGTTTCCATTTAGAGCGCGTGTGGAAAAGTCTGCAAACTCGTTCAGGCCGGATTTAAACAAGAAATAAGTAAATCAGTTAACTACCGGTTGGATTTGTTGAGGTTTGTATGTCTGTCTGCCTTTCATGATCATTCGGAGACCCCCCTGCTTACCCCAGGCAGCAGATATATATCAGTAGCATCAGTGGTTCAGTGGTCAACTCTAAACAGTTGCCGTCTATTTCTGTTTGAACTTTGGCATGTTTACAGGGACTGACCGGACAGTGACCGTTTCATGACAAAGACGATACCCCTCCTCTTTTGATATCTATCCAATCTTAACATTTTCTTAGGATGATGATGTTTTTATAATTACTCTTAATATTATTCATCCATTTGTTCTTTCAATCTAATAAGGAATGAAATGGAGCTCATACCATTTACCTTGTAAGGGTTTCCAATATGAAATGTAATTTTCATTTTTTTATTTGATGATGATGATGATGACGATTATCATCATTTTTATATTTTTTTATAATCCAGTCGTCGCCGGTTACATCTGTTGATGTTCCGTTTAACTTGAATTTTGTATTGCCACGCTGGATTTCAATCAACTTATAATGAGAGCTGAACACGAACCTGATCTCATGGCACGGCAATACGCTGCCAGGAAGCAAATTGGTTACTCGAAAACACACTGACAGCTTTAGTCGGTGTATGTCGTTGTGGTCATCTTTGTAGAAAAATGAAATAGAAAGGTTGCCTGAAAATTCGTAGAAATTCAAACAAAAATGCAAAGACCTGACACAACGCCTGCCTTTGATGTGAGCATAATATGCCATCAGCATGCGCAGTATTAAAGTTAATGATCGCATCAAAACCGTTATCAGGAATACATCTAACAATTAAACCTGCTATAATTCGAGCAATCTTTTTTTTTTTTATTAGAAATATATATGTCTTTAAGTTACAGCTGATACTCCAACACACTGTACAGCAAAACGATAACAGTTTACAGACACGCTTCTGATAACACAAATAAATTTCATATTCGTCAGTTTCAGTTGATTTCTGGTTTAAATTATTCCCGTGACGTGTCCTTTTTTTACTTTTCAGCCACTTTTATTACAAAAGGAGCCAATACATATCTCAGAATCCCTGCTTACTCAATATTTATGTCGTGTCATAAATGAAAGCTGCTTCACGTAACTCCTTTTCTGAAAAAAAGAAGAAAAAAAACTTGCTTCCACCATTAAAACATTAATAATAAAGTAAAATGTGACTTCTTTCGTCGTGAACAACTGTTTGATAAATCATAAATGAGTAAAAAGATACACTATCCGAGTTTTCCTTCGTCAGGCACTGATGTGATGAAATTCCCCGACGACGGCAGCATGCGGTAAGCTAGTGTATTTATTTATTAGCTTATTTATTAGCTTATTTATTCATTCTTTCATTTATCAGCTTATTTGTCCATCCCTTCAGTGATCATGTCGTGCTTACTTCGCTTCTAGAAGTTTATTAATGGCAGAGGCATACGGGCCATGATTTCCATGTAAAATGGACGTCACACGCGAGTCGCCGTATCACCCTCCGCTTGCTGCTGAGGATATTTTAGGGAAAAACTGAGTTCTGATTACTTCTGGCAAGCAAATTCGGACAAATGTGGACCTGTACGTTTTTTCGTATTGAAGCTGAAGAATTTGTGTTTCTGTTCATAATTTATTTTTAATCTGCTAATAAGTATAAAACAGAACTGAATTCAATAGTGGAATAATTGGGATATACCTTTATATACTGAAAACAATCTATTTCTCTATGACATCACCTTGATGGTGGGATTTTAACGCATTAAAAGCACTTGTTTGTTAATACTGGAAAGCTATATATCAGAGGCAAGTGCACGTGCGTAGTTGAACAAGGGCGTGAGACAAATAAAAATAAAACAAATTAAAAAATGCGTGCGTTCTCTCTCTCTCGCTCTCTCCCTCTCTCTCTCTCTGGTCAATAAAAGTGATTTCAGAAAAAATGTGAATAAAACTGGTCTCACTAGAATACTTACTTGGATATGGTTAACTTAAAAAGTATCATCATTGGAAAATTATAGAAAAAAGTACATTTATTTCTTTACAAAATGTATGCAAAATGAATTTTATTTATACTGCAATCAAAGGCTGCTTCTTTGCTCTATTTATGCTATGAAGACGCACGTTTTTATTTTCGAGTGTCACCCCTTTTTGTATCGAATTTTAGTTAAAACAGTTCGCGGGAACTTGTACGTGCACTGCCATATGTTCGTGAGGTACCTAATCACTGCCAATGTAAAGCCGCCATCAAAAACAATTTAATCAACTGTAACGGTTAAATCAGGACAACAAAGAAATTATTATTGCTGTTCGTCAGTAATCCATTTATTACAAATATGACTACTTACATGCAATTCCGGGTCATCCAGTTATACGTCAAAGTACTAATCAGGACATACAATTGAAAAGTCCATGCGATCGCATGGACAAAATATCTAAAATAACAAAACCCATAACAATTGAATTATTGAAATATTAAAGTACTTCTGTGACCCATACTAATTTGTTTTAAAATGCGCCGTTTAAGTGAAAAAAAAACCTACAGCTTTGTCAAAATGAAGGTTAATTTGCATATTTTACCACAAGTGGGTTGAAGTGTCGTGTTGCTGGGGGTGTCGGTGGGATATATATATAAGGGGACCCGCTGGGTAGAAGCCGCTATCCTTCAACTCTGTGCAGGAACACTGACGCCTTCAACATGAAATTCCTTCTCGTCGTTGCTTTCATCGGCTTTGCCGCTGCCGACAAGGGCTACAGCAGTGAGTAACATTTTATTTATTCATTCCTTTTATATTATTTAGTAATTTAATTATCACAATGCTAAAGTTTCGTCACTTTTCATTTCAGCTTTTGGATGGCGAGATCTGAGTTTGATGTTTTTACCTATCATCAGGATTTCTACCTATATCAAATATTTCATCGCTTAGATTAGGTTTTTTCATAAATAATGTCTAACGTGGCTATTTTAGTAACATGTACCTTTAATATTCACGTTTCAAGAGCTTTTCGAGCCGCGAGACTAAAACTTGGGCATAGCATTATTTTAAATGAAGTATAGCTTGTCCATTTACGAAACTAGCTGTTGACACTTACTTTTTCTATCCATGGTTTTAAACAAACATATTTTCTCATTTCCTTTATTATATAAATATAAACCAAAAACATTTCTTTGGGAGCATTTCGAAAAGCTACTAAGGCAAATACCTCATTCTCACGCCCATTGCCGTTGCAATCTTTTCTCATCTTCGAGAAAGATCGATTGATGAAATCGAAAAAAATAGTCATTCAAACAAAACACCGAGACTAATATCCGTGCGTTGTTTTCAGACTGCTACCAATGTGAATACAACACCAGGGATTCCAATGCCGGGTTTGGTGCCTGCGCTGCCCCAAGTGAAGCCAGCGGTGTCGATGTCTGGGAATGTCCCTCGGGCACCTGTTACAGCCGTTACAACCCACTCACAGGATGTAAGTCCTGAGAACACATAGCATTATATTTTACAGTATTTGTTTTTATTTTGTAACGTTTTAATCATGAGGATCTGGAAAAATATACAGCTCTGATAAGTTGCCCTCTTATATCAGCGGCTTGTTAAATAGTGTGCGATATTAAGGTATGATGAGCATGCAATGATTTTGTAACAGACTGTCAGCGCACCCTGTGGTCAGAGAGCACTGATAAGGGAAGCATTGTTGTATAATGGTAAACCAATATAATGGAATGTATTGAGTTTTAACAAAATGCAAAAGGACTGCCTTTTTGTTTTGTTTGATGCAGCACTTCTTTTCTGTTTTAAATTTGTCGTACAATTAATGATTTCTCACCGGATTCAATGTTAAAACTATTTAACTCTTTTTGCGTCTGTGCAGTATCCGTTATATTGTTTGCCTACCCGAAATAATCGACGTGTAATCTATTTTATCTATTGCATTATCTTTATCATAATCGTCAAGGTATGCTTTGCTTTAGAAATTTGTCTACATTTGTGGGTATAGGTCACTGAACTGAAGATTTTTAACTTCACACAACAAGCAATATATGTTCTGTACCTAAGGGTGTATTCCCAGAGATTTAGATCGATCCAGAGATTAAGATTTAGATCGACCTAACTCCCTGGGGGTTCACGATAAATTGTAGTCAGCTGAGCGCGCACCATAGTTAATTACCCCCTTACAGTTTTCAGTAGGCGGAACAGACGCTTAAGCCGGCTAAGCTGACAGTAAGACAAGTGAGACTCCCCACAGGGATAGATCGATCTAAAATCTATGGATCTAAAATCTATGAGGTCTAATTGACATCAGTTCTGATGCACCAGCACATTTGATGATACATGTAGTAAAAATTCACATTGCTCCGGGTGAGGATCGAACTCACAACCTCCGCATGCCTCAACCCTGTTATCAGGGCGGAGTACTGTCTATAAGTACGGCGCGCTAACCGATTGTGCCACCGGAGCTAGGATGGCTCTATTGGAATGCTAGGTGATAGTCGATGGATTATATAGCATGTGGCAGTAGTGATAAGTCACCACATTGATAACACACATAAACACACACAAGCACACATGTACACTCACACTTATTCAAAGAAAAAAAAAGCGCGTACACGCACATGCACTCCCCAAGTTTTGGACCTCTTGCAAACGGAAACACGACAAGAGAGTACAAGTATTTGATGAGATACACCCGGAATTGTAATCAAAGTTTTGAGGGGTTGACAGACGTTGGAACTTACATGGGGTTGGGCACAGTGTGAAAATATTCTCTATCCCCTGTTTTATCCCCCTTTCTTGTTTAACGGATATAAACATGCTCAGCTAAATGAGCCCCCCACCCCACCCCACCCCACCCCTCCCAGCCGTCATGCCCCACTTTAAACCTCCACCTACAGTCAACGAATTCCATGTCTTCTCAGTGCAAATGTCCAAGTGATTCTCTCTCTGTATTCTGTCTGTCTTCCCATTTCCAGTCGTGATCCGTGGATGTCTTGCCGGCGAGACCAACGTCGTCCCAGTCATCAACGGCTGCACCAGAAATGCTAATGGCGAAGTCGTCTGCTCCTGCGCCGCCGGTCCAGTCCCATGTAACGATGACAACATGGCCCCATACTACGGTGAAAAATACAGCTCTGGCTACGACGGTTACGGTAAAGGCTACGGTTACGGTCGTCCCTCTGGTTACGGCGGTAGCTATGGCTACGGTCGTCCCTATGGCTACGGTCGTCCCTATGGCTATGGAGGCCCTTACGGTTACGGCAAAAAGGTTTATTAAGTTCACTGATAACAGGGTTCTCATTAGCTTTCGGGTGTAATATGTTGTAGGATCACTCCTATATCTGGTTTACAAAAATAAAGTTGAAATCTCAGCTATAAAAGATACGTTTGTTCTCATTTGTGTAATCTCTCTCTCTCTCTCTTCTCTCTCTCTCTCTCTCTGTTATATATTTATTTATTGCGAGCTTACCTAGCTAACAGGTGCCCCACTAAAACACCATTTTACAATCTCTGTTCAAAATGTTGTAGATGTTCACAAAAAGCAGGTCTCAACTGTCGCATTCGTTCTCTTCTAATGTCTGCACTTACTCGTATGTCGATAGGGCACACAACAGGTTAATACTTTAACCCCGGGCCGGGCGACAATCCGCTTCTTCAGATCCTTGCCTAAACTATGATCAGCAGTTATGGAAATTCTATAAATATTATGTCAAATTACCTGAGCTTTTTTTAACTGGTCAGATATAGCTTAACTTGCTAAATATAACAACACATTCACAGCAACAGTAACGAAGTAATTTGTAAAATATTTGTTCAGGCATTTCCAGGCGCTGGATATAGATTATTGACTAAATAAATCCATTAATAAAAATGTACTTGTGGTTAAATGTTACAAAATGTGTTATAGTGTGAATTCATTGTGTATTAGAGCCGGTTATATAGCATCACATTATAAGTTGGACGAAATTGGCCTTCGGCAGAAAAGACAAAGTTGAAGAGAAAAAAGTACAGAGATATTGGAGAGAGAATGAAAATCATGCATCGAAAATCTTTGATGCGGCTTGGAGTGCTGCACGGGTGAAAATGTGTCCTTCTTCAGTGCAATCTCATTGCCTTTACAGATCAAAATTTTACATCTCTTCTAGACAAAAGCTGTAGAGATAACAACACTAAAACTATGCTTAAACGCTATGAACCAGCTTTATGTGAACGATATTCGTGACAATGTCGATTTATGAGCTGCGCTTACCGGCAAGTAGCAAAAAAAAAAAAAAAAAACTTTGACAATCCCTCACTCACCCATTAAATGAGACGCATATCATTAAATCTCATCAGAAAAAAAAACGCGAAATGAGAATACACTTTTAAAGACAATTAGTTAAGTTAACTTGACTATGGTTTAAAATTAAAACCGTCCCGGAGTGAACTGCCTTTGATCTTGTTGTGCTCTTTAACGTCATAGGTGAAGCCAGACTAAATTTCAGCATAAAGCAAAGTGATGGCAAAAAAAAAATAATAAATAAATAAACAATAATAATAATAATAATCTATCTATAGCTAGGAACGCACCGTGTCGGCTTCTTAAACATGGCTTCATATACTTTAACGTTGATGATTAGACCATGGTCGGGGACTGGCGTTGCGCCGGAGGAAATATATTTGTACGGCACCCGGGTCATCAATTGTAATTGCATATATATACATGTAGATCCAAACTTGCCTCCACCGTGACAAGTTAGAAAGCTTCTATTTGATATAAAGCCTACCAACGAAGCTTCTGCGGCTCCGTGATAACTCTGCTGTCTTGGACACAATTAGACACTTAAACGTGGGTTCGTATTTTAGAATGTTATAAGTAGTAATTTTTTCCAAAAGGAAAATTCTAAAAATTGTGTTTGATTACTTTAAACGGGCGTACAAAGAGGTTTTAGGTGAAATTGAAAATGATACGCAAAAACAATACTTTCAAAACATCAAACACTCCGAATAAACAATATCTATTTCAAATTTAACGTCTAACACGCGCCCAGTACGCAGAAATAAAGAATTGAAAATCGCATTCAGATCCCGTGATTGTAATATACCTTGTCACGTGACTCAGATACTGGCTTTTGAATGAACGGGAGGGGGAGGGGGGGGGGGAGAAATGTAGGAAAACTGCTCAACCTACTTTCCATCGGTGAAGGTCATGTGGAAAGGTCAGCACAGGTCAATCGGTAGTCATCAACATCCATTGTAAAGGATTCAGGCCTGTAGTCAGGGGGATTCGGGGGATTTTGCTCGGAAAAGGTCCACTTTGGGTAAAATTTTATCTAGGTACATGAAGTCTTTATGGAAAAAGGTCCACTTTTTCAGAAAAAGAACCCCCCTTTTGAAATTGCTGGCTACGGACCTGGGATTGAAAGTCACGTGTTTAAATCCCAGATGACGCAAGTCAGTTTACCACAAAAACGAGCTGGCCACGGAATCGGGGAGTCGCGGAAACGAGGACGGGCTCTCCTGGGTCCCAGCAAATAACCTCTTGCATAAAAACCGGTAGAGTTTAGAATAAGTCACCGCTTTGACAAAAATTAATGCTGGCCATTATCATTACATGTAAGTCTGCATCGTCAATAATAGTCCCTTTCTATTCACTTAAAATTCCTTAAAATCATGATTAGACGGGGATGGCCATTGATCTCTATCTTTTACTAGCTACACGATGTACCACACATCAAACTAGAAATGTGTCGACAGCTATTTAAACCGGCATGACACCATGCATGTCAAACTGGCCTTGCATCAAAAAGTTCTATCTTGGGATTATCATGGATTTTTTTTTCTCAAAAAAAAACGCATCGTATCAATTGTTTTACCTTATCTTACTTTTGTATGCCCCCATCCCTTAGGCACCTGCTTATCAAGACTGTTCATACCGTCATGCAGTTGCCGGGGCAACTTTACAGTCGACATTTAAAAGAGCAAAGACTTCTCAGTACTAAAACCGTCAAGGTGTGAACGGCTTTGGCTCTCAATGTGCTCTATAACACCACAGGTGAAGTCAGTAATCTCAGTGTAAAACAAAACGAAAATAAAGCACGTGAAGTCATTTGACCGGGAACGTTCCGGGTGGGCTTATCAAAAAAGCGAAAAAACTTGAACGAGTGATTAAAAAATATAACGATAAGACCGAATTTTGAAGATTGTCTGCAATGTTTCAATCTGCCATGTGCGAGCGTGTTCACTACGGTACTGAGCCTGGTGTCCCCCTTCCCTAGATTTTGACCTTCTGACGACACAATAATCCTGACCAGTGTGAATTTAATGGGGGGAGAACTCTCAGTTGTTGTTATAATCAAAGTCCCTCTGGACTTTGATTATAATTATGGACAGAATTTTTACTCCTGACGAAACGTACAAGTATATATATTTACAGAATCAATATGTAACTGTTATCTCGAGAGGGTGGCAGTGTATTATTTGACAAACGTGTACACCACATCTTTAGGCACAAACCAGTAGCCAGGGGGGGGGGGTTCGAAAGAACCGCCCCTTTCGCTAGGAAAAAGTCCACTTTGGGAAAATCTTGATCTAGATACATGGCGTTTTTATGGGAAAAGGTCCACTTTTTCAGAAAAAGAACCCCCCTTTTGAAATTGCTGGCTACGGGCCTGAGGTATGAATATTAGTATGCGAAGGTGGTTTTGCCGAACTCCACAGCTGGCCACTACTACCCCCAGCCACCGTCTACGACCCTGATCAGCTCTCTTACACACTCCCGAGATCATTTCACATTAATCACCACCGAACTGTCCTTGCAACTCGTACACTGGCACTCCATTAGGAACAAACACATAGTGTTTTTCTTATCGCTGAGTAAAACAAGAAACATAAATCAAATTATAAAAATACAAAAGACAATTATTAAAGACAAAGGCGTATCTGTGAGAGTGGTTTAATACGACTGACCGTGACAGCCTGGCGCAAACCAATACCAAGGGACACGTTTAGACCACTGCTTTGAAATTCGTTAGATCGAAAAGCCAGTTTTGACAGCGATGTTATCGACGTTAAAAGGGAATAAAACAGCAATCAAGCAGGCATTCCAGTGTTACACGTGGGGGAAGGGAGGAGGTCCAGTCCCAATACAGTCTAAACTGGCCCAAAACAAAACACGGGTATCATATATGGCCCTTTTCGTTGGAGTGAGGACACAGTCTTGATATCTCCGCCAAAGTGATCATGTACTTTTCACTGCTGCTGCTGAACCTCTTCGTCGCTGTTGCCCCCAATAATGTGGAATACAGTAAGTAGAAAAAGTCGACTCTGTCATAAGTTTGGTTTGTCCTAGAGGTCATTACACATAATTTTGTTCACTTCGTAACGATTTTAATGCTAGCGTGTCCGTTGCGAGGGAGTTAAAACGTTTTATCTGATTTTTTATAGTTAATTATCTTGCATTTTTAAATATTTCTTTTTCGTAATGTGTCCTGAACTTTTCAATATATTCTAGACTTTTAATGGATTATCATTATTAGTGATAGTATTATGATATTAATATTAAGCATGCTCACTAAGTACGTATTGCTCACTATAGAAAAGTGTCCCTTTTAACCGTACATCACTGAAAAGATGTAATTCTAAAATATTGCATGTTTAGGGACACATTTACAATGGGTTTAGAATCAACCCCTTTTAATGATAAAGCATATTTGTTTTATTGACTATTTAAGAAGTTTTTGAGTGCGTGTTTTCCAGGCTGCTATTACTGCGAGTTCAACGTTGAAGACGTGAATGCTGGCTTTGGCGCATGCGCAAATCCTGATGAAGACTCGGGTGTGGCTGTCTCGTACTGCGACTCGGGCGCCTGCTACAGTAGATGGAATCCTAAGTCTGGGTGTAAGATATTTGTCTATTTTTTTTTTTTTTTCATTATTAATCTGATCAACCGTTGAACTTTCCTTCCATTTTGTCTTTTCTTTCTACTATTCTTTGTAATGATTTTTTTCTTTGAGTTTATAATGATTTTTTCCTTCATGTATGTAGCATACACTGAACATGTGCATATTACATAATATCTCTCTCTTTTTTCTTTCTTTCTTCTTTCTATTCATTTTTTTTTTTCATCCTCTTAATTTTTTCTTTTCATCATGTTCTTTCTTATATCTCAGTTGTGATCCGTGGTTGCCATGCCGGCGAGACCAATGTTGCTGTCACCACCAGGGGCTGCACAAGGAACGCTAATGGCGAGGTGGTTTGCTCATGCGCAGCAAGTGAGGTCCCATGTAACCATGACGACATGGCGCCATATTATTTTGGTCGCCCCGGGAGATATTTTGCACTGAAGCAAAAGTTTGCCCCAGCCGCTGCAGCCGTTGAACACTCTGCCGATCATTACAATGGCTTTGTTTCCAACACTAGAGGGATAGTTGCGTCACTCCGAGCGGCTGCAGCCCGTGCTCCTGCTCCTGCCTCAGTTCCTCTAGGTGCCTCAGATCCTGCAGTGGAGCACTCAGCCGATCATGAGAATGGCTTTGTTGCTTTCGGTGCTCCGGCAGCGAATTCTGGTGCCTCAGATCCTGCAGTGGAACACTCAGCCGATCATGAGAATGGCTTTGTTGCTTTCGGTGCTCCGGCAGCGAATTCTGGTGCCTCAGATGCTGCAGTGGAACACTCAGCCGATCATGAGAATGGCTTTGTTGCTTTCGGTGCTCCGGCAGCGACTCCAGGTGCCTCAGATCCTGCAGTGGAGCACTCAGCCGATCATGAGAATGGCTTTGTTGCTTTCGGTGCTCCGGCAGCGAATTCTGGTGCCTCAGATGCTGCAGTGGAACACTCAGCCGATCATGAGAATGGCTTTGTTGCTTTCGGTGCTCCGGCAGCGAATTCTGGTGCCTCAGATGCTGCAGTGGAACACTCAGCCGATCATGAGAATGGCTTTGTTGCTTTCGGTGCTCCGGCAGCGACGTCAGGTGCCTCAGATCCTGCTGTGGAACACTCAGCCGATCATGAGAATGGCTTTGTTGCTTTCGGTGCCCCGGCAGCGAATTCTGGTGCCTCAGATTCTGCAGGGGGTCCCTCGGCCGATCATGAAGGCGGTTTTGTTTCTTTCGGTGCCCCACCAGCGACTTCAGGCGCCTCAGATCCCGCAGTGAAACCCTCGGCCGATCATGAGAATGGTTTTGTTGATATCGGTGCCCCAGGTGTGACTTCCGGTGCATCAGATCAACCTGTAATGGTACACTCAGCGGATCATTACAACGGACTGATAACAGTGAGCAGGGGGATAGTGGCGTTCCTGAGGGCAGCTGCTGCTAGTGTGGCTGTGTAAGAAGGATGAGGTTGGCGTGGGCCACCTGAAGATCTTCAGATGGCGGGGAATTAAATGCTCTACGCCCTGTTGCCGCCAGGTTTTGCTACATGTTTAAATTGCATAAGACGTTAATACAAACATCTCTTATCAGACTTTCATATGATATTACTAAACGCCATTGTCTCTGTCAATAAACACTTTTCATTCTACTTCCATTGTATTAGCTCTCATAATCTTGTTTATAATTTTCCTTTTTTAACTCTGGCTGCAGATGACGCTGTTTATCAAAGTGCACGGATATTTTAGTAAGATTAAAGCAACAGCATTTCCATCATTTTTCTATAAAACTGCCGGTATAAGTTTGTTAAAAAGCGAGGGTTGTAATAAAATGTATTTTGTATTTTAACTTGTGAATTTCATACAGATGATGTGCAGTTAGGAAAAATAATTAAAATGATGATAATTACAATGTGAAGATTTTGTGTTCAGGGTCTTCGTTCGAAATAATGAAATAATGTTCTCTATTTTTCCTTCCTTACACTTTTCCCATCTCTCTCCCTCTTCTGAAATAGATCCCAGTTTATGATTTCAATGAATACATTTAAGCCAACGTGATTTTAATGACCTTACGACATGTACATCAAAACAGTAAAACGTCAATATTTTTAAAAAATGTGTCTTTAATGTTAATCTTACTTGAATCTTCAAAAATATATAAATAAACATCTTTCAAAACCATTACTCTTCACATCTGTAATCATTCAGGTTCCATAAATTTATTGCATCTCAGGCCAGCAGATATTAACATATAAATTGCCTCTCTATGGCCCGCCACATGACTTATGTAGAAATATTTACTTATTTACAATAAATCTTATTTACAATTTTTTAATTTATACATATGTACAGATATTTAGCATTTTGTGGAATTTCATATCCATTTGTTAATTAAAACGAAATCAGCGCCATTGAAGTTGATGATCATACTGAAAACATTTTTTTGCAAATGCATAGGCTATTACTTATTCGCAATAAAAAAAAATCTGTTGCGAAATTCTGTTCATAACATGACAATTCCCGAAACACCCTGCCTAGGGTTTATTCACCGTTCTCAAGACCGAGCAGCTTCTTTAACTTTTGGCCTTTCTACTGATATGAAATGCCGCTCTTCCAGCATTTCCACTGTGGATAAAATGTAGAATGTGTCCTGTTCATAACCCGTCCATTTCTCCAATTAGTAAGTAACTTTTTCGTAGAATACGGATCCAAAGTACGGGAATTGCGTCCGTAAGCAAGCGTTCATAGCAATCAACTTTTCCTGAACCGTTCATATTTGGCATCACTGATGTAAATAATCAATTCTATGTACAAAGTTTTGGTATTTCTATTTACAAGTCCAGTCCAGGATTATTTACATGCAATTCATAAAAGCATATCCAATATTGGCTTTGAGCGTTAGTGGCAAATTGTGGTAGAGAAGACAGACGGAGAAGACTGCGAATGCTCATGGGTGAGCGCACTTCATGTGCTCGAACGAACTCCAGTACTGCCAAGTGAGTTCCTCCCTGGAAAAGAAAATAATACTCTTTATTCTGTTGGTCAAGGCTACGAGGGTGATTATTCCTATTGTTTTAGTTGTATTTATCTCAAAATGTATTCACGGTTCATGTTTCTACATTAAAAGGAAAATTATCATTTGATAAGATTTGAATGGAGCAGAAATACCTGTGCATTATCTGTGAATTATAAAAGGCAATGTGCAAAATACGCATAGAAATGAACAGAGAAGTGGTAAGGGAAAATGAACAGGGAGGACGTATAGACATAATCTAAAAAAGAAAACCTCAGAAATAACGAAAATAATGAGTAAATAAAACAAAGGTGATATTATTTCAGCATTAGCATGGAAACCCTACTTACTCTCTGGGTGTTTTTCTTCCAGTGTCTTTACAAATGAGCCCTTTATCGCACGGGCAGAGTTCGTTGAGACTGTAGTCTAGGCCACCCTTAGGAACGTAGCAGTTCTCGGCAAGTTGAAGCTTGGCTTTGCAAACTTTTTCCCCGTGTTGTCGAGCGCAGCACATGCTACTGCCGCAGTCACGGTCATGCTTGCAACGGGCACCTGTTATAATAAAAGAATGAGATGATTAGAATAATCATAGATAAAATTCAGAAAGTTGTTTTCTTATAATGCATCTGTGAATGAGAAGGAATTTCGCTGAAAAAACTTAAATATTTCTTCTTCTTTTACATTATTTGAAATTTAAAAAAAATGGAAACTACATTGAGAATTATTGATTTTAACAAGTTTAAATTACAACTTTCAAAAACCATCATCTCCCGTTCCACTGACCACACAAAAACAAGTTCTTCCTACTCAGGTGTACCATTAAACTCGCAAGTGACATCTCGCGACGACAACATCTGTGCAAACCCCTTTCAAACAACGCCTGCCAGAGAGTAGAGAAAAGCACCGCTGCCAAACTCGCGAATTCTTTCAGCACTCAACACACCGCGGTGGCACATAAATCTATCTCTGTCTCTCTCCCCCTCTTTCTCTCTCTCTCTCAGACACTTAATTCAAGGTGACTGGTGGGATCGTATTACACTTCTGTCATATGTTCGCGACACTTAACCCTGCTTCACGTCGCGGCGTTTTGGTTAATTGTCTCCCCCGCTGGGGCGACATTGAACTGCCAAACATGCCACGTACGATGATCTACCTGGCAAGGTGCCATCAGAAGTGGGTCGCTGTGATGTTTTTTTTTTTTTTTTTCATTTCTTTTTTATTTAAGAATGATAGAAATTCGAGGATCATACGTTTGACATAAAGTTGGCTGATTTGTAATGCATTTAGGACAAAAAAATTATCCGATTTACGCGAGAATAATCTTATCCCGATTAGAGTACCTCCACAGCACACGCACGCACAAAAACACACACACACACACGCATACACGCACACATAAATATCATCTCAATATCAAGATCTACCGCAAATATAATTCACCAGACTCTTATAAGGGACAATATTGTACAAGTTATATTAGCGTAAGTTATTGCGGTTTGTATTTCTTCGATATTCTTGGCTGCAACCCCACTTTTATAATTGGTCAGTTTGTTCTTATTTTGATATCGCACAGCAGGTTGCAGATACCGGACAGTGCGTTGAACACGACTGATTTGCTTTGAAAGAAGTCGCAGTTGAGCAATAATAATAGGGGCCTACTTAGTTTACTGAAAGAGAAAGCGCGTGTGTGGCAGACGATCTTGGCGGACGACTCGATATAGTAGTTTGCCTTTCAGTGTAGCCCGGTTCGTTGGCAGGTGAAAAAGGCGAGATTTATTGTTCGTGATCGACCTGTCTCTGTCACGGTTAGACCAGCTATTATCTCCACTGGATACTCCGAGGGAGTTTGTTTGGAAAACTAAACAAAATGGCAGACCACACAAATGGTAGATCACAAACTGCATTTATCTAACCCAGTAGCCGCTCACGAAAAATTCGAGTTTTATTCTCCTAGTGCCGTGTAAATTGAACGCCAATCTAAAATGACAGCATCATTTGGAGCCCAAAATAACCAACATTTCTGAACCGGAGGAAAAGCATTTCTCACGACTATCTTCATCCGACTCTGGCTTGGCTCCAGGGATGACGATACACTAAACTCCAAAATCCCAGAGTTTTATTTTATGAAAAAGACCCCCCTGTCCTCGTCATTACAACACGAAACATAAGGCATTGACTGCTCAACACATTCCCCAATATCCATTACGCAAACTGTTCAAGTAAAAATAAACACAAATAAAATGCTATTAGTGAATGTAACACCGTCGCCTGTTTGTTGTTATTTCGTCTCCTTAAATTTCCCGGCGTTTCGCGTCCACCCTTCGTTAAAATTAAACCAACATCTATAAATAGGGGCGTGCACCATTCTTAAAAGGCATGAAAACAATCGGCTCTGTTTTTCTCTTAATGAAACATGACAAAAAACCTTGACGTGCACCCAGAAACCTCATAGAACCCGCTGTGAGACCATGGTGCTAGGAAAAGATTGCACTTTAAGTTAAAAGGACTGCCGGTAGTACCCAGCGTCCCCACAGACAATTTTAAGTTACTTGCACCGGTTAAGTGTATCATTTTTGATTACTTTTGCCTTTTGGTCGCATATTTTCAGCTTTGTTCTTCCGTGGGTAAAGCATTGGTTGTAACTGCTGTCTCTTGTCAAAATATTCGACTGGAGCTCTAAAATGCCTATAGTTATAGTGAACGAATTTGATCTATCCCTTACATACACACACACTCACACGTGCACACACACGCACAAACTCATAAACAAACAAACACGCACTCACACAAGGAATTATTCACAAGCTTCCCTGTACCATTTCTTTTTCGTTTTTCAGCTTTATTTTTTCCCACGTTTATTTCACAAATTAACTCCTTACCTAATTCGCCAGCTTTCTGTGATTTTTGGCACTTTCCAAACATGCAGTCGAAACCCTTTTGGCAGTGACCGTCCCTTCGACACGCATCGCCTTCCCGCCTGTGGGGCTCGCATGTTCCGTAGAATTTGTCGCAGAATCTGTGACGCCCGCAAGATTTATCTGTCGTACATGGCTGTAAGGATAAATAAGGTGCATCTTTGAGATATATAAGCCAAGAGGCCCAATTCTAAAAATTCTAGAAATGTTTACCTCGTTGCAATGAGCTTTAAAAAATACTGTGCAAATACTGTGGTGATTTTCACTGTGTCAGTAGTCGGAGATAACGCGACACATGCTTGTAGTTTAAACATAAGGGTTTGTGGTCTGAATCACATAACAGTTGTAAATCAGTACCCTGATAGTGGGACCGCACAGGGCACTCAACCCCCCCCCCAATAGGTCCTTCATCAACTTTTTTGCATTACTGTTTTGTGACTACTTTACATTGCAACTGCTGATGATGCTTATTGTAACCACTGGTTGGTGAAATATACAGCTATTCGCCACTTATAAAAATGTTTTGAAGCAATCAGTCTGATATATAGGCATGTGTATTGGAGAAGATGCTGTAACTGATGTCGTAATTTCTATTTTTATTTCATTTTTTCTCGCTTCTACAATATTGTGACCAATCTAAACAACGACATTGATCGTTTTTTATTACACTTGCCTAAATGGGTCCATGCATAACAACAAATTGCAGTAATAATGCATTGAAGCTGTTATTATTAATGTTACTGCTATTGGCAACATCATCAGTAGCTCAATATACTTACGTCAAATGGGTACGTAGGTTCATCCAACTGCGGTCTTTCCAAAGCGTCTCTGTATATATTTTTAGGGTGGTTGCTAAGATCCTCGTCTGTTCCAATAGATCCCCATGCAATATTCCAAATGTAAGCATCACAGAAAGTTGCCAGGAAAAAATTCCAAACCACAATTGTCGTAAAAACTGTGTTAAAATCCATCGTGAATTTTCCCGAACAAGCGCACATGTTCTCTCCGTGTTACTGTAGTTGTATATTTTTTCTAGCGAAGGAAACTCAAGAAGTAGCCTAGTAGTTCCCTGTTTGCCGTCTAAATTTGTCTGTTCCCTGCATTGACAGGGACAGACATTTAAACCATCATTTGTCAAGACTAATTGGTAATTGAAGGGTAATTGAAGAAAACAATATTGTTGGCTCTGGCATGTTGAAGTGGGCCACGAGTGGCCTGTCAGACACGTGACAAGGTTTGGACCAATGGGAACTCGCGAATCTTCCCTGCCAGCCTCACTCTCTCTGATCGCCTGCCTCGCGGAGGCTGAGTTGTAAAATGTTGATCTTGCTGTCATAAAACTGCCACCGACCAGCGGGAGACACTTACTGACGTCATGTATCCCCCCTCAACTTCTCCTGCCCGACTCTATCTCGAGGATAAATATATTCAGAAGAGGAAAGATAGTGCTTCGTGGTTGCCCCCCCCCCCCGCTCCATTTTAGCAAAACTTTACTTGACAGCAGAAAGTTAAGGTATGAGTGAGAAAAAGAACGACAAGCATTAGACGTGTTCACAACTTCAGAACCTATTTCGATATTTAAGCTAAATGTTATCTATTACTTACAAGCTCTCTGAGGGTAGGGTTCCCTATATCAATGTTACACACGCGCGCACGCACACGCAAACACACACACCCACAAACAAATACACATAATTTCACATGCTTGCAAATACTCACACGCGCGCGTACAAACACGTAGCCAAACAAATAAAAAATACAGTAAGAGACATGCATTTTCAACCAGCTAGACCCTACCTGCCTAGTTCATCTTCATCAGATACTCTCATAAACAGCAACAAACCGCGTTAAATTAAGCGTGAACAAGTGGCATTTTAATGCCCGCATTTTAATGACTGGTTATTATACAAACCATTTTGCCGTTGTAACACCTTGATCTATGATTAAAATGCCACGGGTGTACACATGTGTCCCATACTCCACATTACGGGGGGAGATACTGGCGCATCGCTGGGATGCTTCTCTCTTTTATCAACGCAAAATGATGTGGGATTCATCCCCCTTATTATTGAAAGCACCGTAGCGCAGACCCAAGTCTTTATACAACTGTGCGAATAAGGAGATCTCGTTGGAAAAAATCAGTCATCCATTTCTGATTAATGTAGAAAAATGGAGTTGCGATCGCGTAGGAATTGCTTTTTTTTTAAAGAAACATAAAGCTTCCGTTCACATTGTTCTTGGGCGCTACTTTTTATATATCTGTTTTATTTTTACCATTATTTATCGATAAATTTTATTTATTTATTTATTTATTTATTTATTTATGCAAAGTGCAGCTACTTCTCTATTATATATATGCATTATAAATGCAGCGACTTCTCGTTGGTCTACACGCATATCATGTAAAAGTAGAGCGACTGATACATAGGTAAAGTCCTTGTAGATCAACAGGATCTGTCACTTGTCACTCTCCCCACTCTTCACCCTGGCACCCTCCTCATTGATCTGATACATATATTACACGTGTAAATTGGCCAAGGAGGCGGACACCTCACTTTAATGGCATATTGTGGTCTACCCCGTGACACCGGGGAATTAAGTGGATGTCAGGTGCGATTTTCGGGCACTTCACTCACCTCTCCTAGATTATTTTTACAAAATGATAACCATTGCTGTTCCCAGTATCCGAAACTAAATTTATTTCTATTTTCTGACCTCCTCCTTTCTCCAACTTTACCACTTTCCCTCCAATTAACACACCTTTCAAATGAAACGTTGAGCCTTTGTAAACATTCGACCATGATGCATATAGTAGTCCACTCATTAAAGAGGGGTTGAGACAAACAACATTTAAAAAAAAAAACTACTCACAGACACATTTTCTTTTTCAAAATGACAAAATTTCAAATTGCTTAAAATAAGGGCAGGTTAAAAAAAAGTCAAGTAGCAGTCACAATGTACTAGATGGCAGTCTGGAATGCAAATAATCTGGAGATTTATCTGATACACGACTGCCATAGATTATGTGGTTCTAAAATGTAGGCTAAATCTATTGTCTGAGTAATCAACTAAAAATAAGAAAATTAAGGGGATCCCGAATAAAAATTGCATTTCCAAAACTGGCAAATTTTGCAACCAATCTGGGAAAGAGGTCATCTAAAAACGTCACCCCAATAAGGTAGACTGTCATTTAGTTACGCTGGTCTCATACAGACACTTAATGAGTATCTCAGATCACGCCTGTCAGTGACAGCTAAAACATCCCTTAATCTTGATGAACTGAGCCGGGTGTACCCCAGACTGGAGAGTGATATGAAGCCACTTGTCACTCTCCGCCTGTCATCTTGGTGCGATGTCACTGAACTCCACCTGTCGCGAATTGCTCTGTCCGACACCGCGACAACGTCTGACACGTGCTTTCCCAGTCGCCATGATCTCCAGGCTACAGATTTGGGGGAAGGGAAGGGGGGGGGGAGATGGCCAACCTGTATCATAGATGTGTATATGTAAGTGCCCAGATAACAATGAGCGGTCGGGCCGACGTCGGCATTGGTCGGCACGGTCGCGGTCGGCAGTCGTTGTCGGGCCGACGTCGGGCCACTACTAGTGACCCGACGTCGGGCCGACGACTGCTTTACGCCNTCTTGGTCGCATATTTTCAGCTTTGTTCTTCCGTGGGTAAAGCATTGGTTGTAACTGCTGTCTCTTGTCAAAATATTCGACTGGAGCTCTAAAAGGCCTATAGTTATAGTGAACGAATTTGATCTATCCCTTACATACACACACACTCACCCGTGCACACACACGCACAAACTCATAAACAAACAAACACGCACTCACACAAGGAATCATTCACAAGCTTCCCTGTACCATTTCTTTTTCGTTTTTCAGCTTTATTTTTTCCCACGTTTATTTCACAAATGAACTCCTTACCTAATTCTCCAGCTTTCTGTGATTTTTGGCACTTTCCAAACATGCAGTCGAAACCCTTTTGGCAGTGACCGTCCCTTCGGCAGGCATCGCCTTCCCGCCTGTGGGGCTCGCATGTTCCGTAGAATTTATCGCAGAATCTGTGACGCCCACAAGATTTATCTGTCGTACATGGCTGTAAGGATAAATAAGGTGCATCTTTGAGATATATAAGCCAAGAGGCCCAATTCTAAAAATTCTAGAAATGTTTACCTCGTTGCCATGAGCTTTAAAAAATACTGTGCAAATACTGAGGTGATTTTCACTGTGTCAGTAGTCGGAGATAACGCGACACATGCTTGTAGTTTAAACATAAGGGTTTGTGGTCTGAATCACATAACAGTTGTAAATCAGTACCCTGATAGTGGGACCGCATAGGGCACTCAACCCCCCCCCCCCCCAATAGGGCTTTCATCAACTTTTTTGCATTACTGTTTTGTGACTACTTTACATTGCAACTGCTGATGATGCTTATTGTAACCACTGGTTGGTGAAATATACAGCTATTCGCCACTTATAAAAATGTTTTGAAGCAATCAGTCTGATATACAGGCATGTGTATTGGAGAAGATGCTGTAACTGATGTCGTAATTTCTATTTTTATTTCATTTTTTCTCGCTTCTACAATATTGTGACCAGTCTTAACAACGACATTGATCGTTTTTTATTACACTTGCCTAAATGGGTCCATGCATAACAACAAATTGCAGTAATAATGAATTGAAGCTGTTATTATTAATGTTACTGCTATTGGCAACATCATCAGTAGCTCAATATACTTACGTCAAATGGGTACGTAGGTTCATCCAACTGCGGTCTTTCCAAAGCGTCTCTGTATATATTTTTAGGGTGGTTGCTAAGATCCTCGTCTGTTCCAATAGATCCCCATGCAATATTCCAAATGTAAGCATCACAGAAAGTTGCCAGGAAAAAATTCCAAACCACAATTGTCGTAAAAACTGTGTTAAAATCCATCGTGAATTTTCCCGAACAAGCGCACATGTTCTCTCCGTGTTACTGTAGTTGTATATTTTTTCTAGCGAAGGAAACTCAAGAAGTAGCCTAGTAGTTCCCTGTTTGCCGTCTAAATTTGTCTGTTCCCTGCATTGACAGGGACAGACATTTAAACCATCATTTGTCAAGACTAATTGGTAATTGAAGGGTAATTGAAGAAAACAATATTGTTGGCTCTGGCATGTTGAAGTGGGCCACGAGTGGCCTGTCAGACACGTGACCAGGTTTGGACCAATGGGAGCTCGCGAATCTTCCCTGCCAGCCTCACTCTCTCTGATCGCCTGCCTCGCGGAGGCTGAGTTGTAAAATGTTGATCTTGCTGTCATAAAACTGCCACCGACCAGCGGGAGACACTTACTGACGTCATGTATCCCCCTCAACTTCTCCTGCCCGAATCTATCTCGAGGATAAATATATTCAGAAGAGGAAAGATAGTGCTTCGTGGTTGCCCCCCCCCCCCCCCCCCCGCTCCATTTTAGCAAAACTTTCCTTGACAGCAGAAAGTTAAGGTATGAGTGAGAAAAAGAACGACAAGCATTAGACGTGTTCACAACTTCAGAACCTATTTTGTTATTTAAGCTAAATGTTATCTATTTCTTACAAGCTCTCTGAGGGTAGGATTCCCTATATCAATGTTACACACGCAAGCACGCACACGCAAACACACACACCCACAAACAAATACACATAATTTCACATGCTTGCAAATACTCACACGCGCGCGTACAAACACGTGGTCAAACAAATAAAAAAATACAGCCAGAGACATGCATTTTCAACCAGCTAGACCCAACCTGCCTAGTTCATCTTCATCAGATACTCTCATAAACAGCAACAAACCGCGTTAAATTAAGCGTGAACAAGTGGCATTTTAATGCCCGCATTTTAATGACTGGTTATTATACAAACCATTTTGCCGTTGTAACACCTTGATCTATGATTAAAATGCCACGGGTGCCCCATGTGCCCCATATTCCACATTACGGGGGGAGATACTGGCGCATCGCTGGGATCCTTCTCTCTTTTATCAACGCAAAATGATGTGGGATTCATCCCCCTTATTACTGAAAGCACCGTAGCGCAGACCCAACTCTTTATACAACTGTGCGAATAAGGAGATCTCGTTGGAAGAAATCAGTCATCCATTTCTGATTAATGTAGAAAAATGGAGTTGCGATCGCGTAGGAATTGCTTTTTTTTAAAGAAACATAAAGCTTCCGTTCACATTGTTCTTGGGCGCTACTTTTTATATATCTGTTTTATTTTTACCATTATTTATCGATTAATTTTATTTATTTATTTATTTATTTATTTATTTATTTATTTATGCAAAGTACAGCTACTTCTCTATTATATATATGCATTATAAATGCAGCGACT